AGGCGAGCATTTAGACGCGTTGGATGCGCCATGCCTCGCGCCAGCGCGTGCGGGAGCTCCTGGCTGAGCGTTGAGTCCAGGCGAGTTGCGCTGGGCACGCGATCACTACGCTGAGCCGAGCTGACGCGCCGAGGCGCCGGCCAGTCGCAGCCGTGAGGCATGCCACAGCAGCAGAGGCACCTGCCCCCCATTGGGCGGGCAGACAGAAGGCCAGGGCAGCACTGGCAAGTGCAACGCGCCTCATGTCGGAGAGCGACCGTGCCTCGTTCGCCGCTTATGATGTAGAGGTTGTTTGTTGTAGTAGTTTTAGCTTACTGGGAGAAAAGACTCTTGTTGTATGTATGTACCAGGGTAGAGATTTGAGCACTTGAGCACTGGATAGGGCCGATTCCGCATGGTACGGGACCCCTCGATCGTCTCGCCCTCCCTCACTGGTGTGTTCATGGGGGGGGTCATGACAAACACGGTACAGGATCGAGGTGCACGCTGCCAGAGCAGTGTCGTCCCCCCCCCCTCTCCCCGACGGCGATGGCGGTGTGACCGATCGAGCTACAAGAGGAGCTTGTTAAGCAGGATCAGGGGTGGGTCGAGCAGTTCTCACTTCCACAATGGGTGAGCTTCAGACCTCAGGCCAGCCTCCCCCCTCACTTGGAGCACTTGGAGTGCGGTCAGTAACCTCACGCCCAGGACCGGGGAGCTGAGAAGCGCACCCAGTTGGCCGGACGCTCGGCATCGGGTTGCTGTGGGCCCCCCTAGCTGCGGAACGCCCCCTCTACTCGGAGCTAAAGAATACTCTCCGAGGGTTGGACCCGCGTACCAGGTTTCCCCTTAACTGCAAGGACGCCCCCTCTACTCGGAGCTAGTGGACACGACACTAGCTAGTGATACGAGAATACGTACCGCCGCCATGCAACTACTCCGTACTCGACGATAATACAAGAATACGCAGCTGCGAGGCACCTAGCCTCTCCGCGGAAATTGACCGCTCCCGCTATGTTGAGCGGTGTTGCACTGACTTGACTCCGCTCGAACGTGTTCGGTCGGTGTTTTTCTGAGCAAGAGTCCGCTCTGAAGGTTGCAGAGCGGAGTCTTGTTAGGCAAACGCTGCTCTGTGTTGTGTAGAGTGGGATTTAAGCTTGAAGACCGCTGCTCTAGCACCCGCGAGCGGGGTTGCTGAGATAGAACACGGCTCTGAGATGCGAGAGTGGCGTTGCGCGTTTTGCTTTTGGCCCTCAGCCGACCCTGAGCGGCTCGTCGCACGTTGCTTCGGGAAGAAGCGGCGCAATGAGCTGGCCGCGGCGGAGACGTCGCTAAGATACCTCACCCGCGGCAAGTTTGGAGAGGACCAGAATGACGACGGCTTCATTGATACGCGCTGGGTCGAGCTCGAGGAGCTGTACGACAACTGCGGCAAGCAGAACCTGAACAGGGCACTCAAGGCGTACTCGAGTACCGCACGGCGGAGAAAAAGGCGGCGAACGAAGCCATTGTCGGCTTTGAAGAGGAAGCACTTGAGCACCGGATAGGGTCGATTCCGCATGGTACGGGACCCCTCGATCGTGTTAACTCAGGCTTTCGGTTAGCGAGCGGGGGGAGGTGGTGCGATTTTGTGGGATGCCCGCACCCCAGCTGCCAAGCCCTTGACGGACCCTCGAGGACGATCCACAACCGTCCCGCCACCCCTGCCGTGTGCGATCCCGGCCTCGCCGTCTTTCGATATTGCTCGCACACCCACACTCGTGCGCGCTCTTACACATGTGTCCGTACGTCCGTCGGTCCACTATCTCCCTCTTACCTTGTTAGCTCAGGCTTGGTTGTTTCTCTGCAGCTTCCATTGAAGTATTTCGGTTAGCGGGGGGAATTGGGTGATCCCCGCACCTCTACCGGTACATAACCAGCCCTCTTGACGGACCCTTGAGCACCGTGGTGCCCTGTCGCTGCCCACAAAAACAGGCATCACTTTGCGTCCCTCCTGTGTGCACCTCCTGCGCCTCCCGGCCTCCCGCGCCGCGCGCCCCTCCCTGCGCGCCCCCCCCCCCCCGCGCTGCGCGCACGTGAAACTGACCGACGGGTCGTCCCCGCGCGTCGCGCAGCCTCATGGTCACCGCCGCCAATGCTGACAAGTCCACGAGATGGATCGTCGCGCCCGCCGCGCTGGCGGTGCTGGAGCAAGTCTTCTCCATGGAGCGCTTCCCGACGCGCCAGCTCCGCGCCAGCCTCGCCGCCGATCTCGCCGTCAACCCGCGGCAGGTGTAATTAGCGTGTATATGCGCCCCCCCTCCCCCTC